AACGACAGCAGCTTGCTACTACTGACATTGCTACCCATAGAACCATATTTAAAGGGAACGCAGAACCCATTCCACTATTTTCTTGGTATCAGTTCAATAGATATCTTTCTTATTTGTGGGTTATTTTTGTTTAAAAAATGGCTATGTACTGTATATTGATAAATATATATATATTTTATATGTGTACAAGGGGCAGCCATGTTTGTTCATTACATAAGCAGCGTCAGCTTCCTTGCTTGGCAGGTCTACACAAAGCTTGTGCTCTCCTATTTTAACGGTAGCTTTGTCATTATCAGACCTCGTTCACATGGAGTGCGTCAACGTGTACGCCCGGGTCACACTGGTTTCTACCCACATGGGGATGCACAAGTGTTTCATGCATTTCCAGGCAGGAAGTCCTACTGATATCAATCGGGATGCAGCGGCTGCACAGACATCCCTGTGTGGGTCCGTGGACGCACGGAACATCTGCGCATCCCCGAGTGGGTCCGTGGGGATGCACGCAACAGCTGCGCATCCCCGTGTGGGTCCGTGGGGATGCAAGCAACAGCTGCGCATCCCCGTGTGGGTCCGTGGGGATGCAAGCAACAGCTGCGCATCCCCGTGTGGGTCCGTGGGGATGCACGCAACAGCTGCGCATCCCCGTGTGGGTCCGTGGGGATGCACGCAACAGCTGCGCATCCCCGTGTGGGTCCGTGGGGATGCACGCAACAGCTGCGCATCCCCGTGTGGGTCCGTGGGGATGCACGCAACAGCTGCGCATTCCCGTGTGGGTCCGTGGGGATGCACGCAACACCTGCGCATCCCCGGGTGGGTCCGTGGGGATGCACGCAACACCTGCGCATCCCCGGGTGGGTCCGTGGGGATGCACGCAACACCTGCGCATCCCCGGGTGGGTCCGTGGGGATGCACGCAACACCTGCGCATCCCCGGGGTGGGTCCGTGGGGATGCACGCAACACCTGCGCATCCCCCGGTGGGTCCGTGGGGTTGCACGCAACACCTGCGCATCCCCGGGTGGGTCCGTGAGGATGCACCAAACACCTGCACATCCCCATGTGGGTCCGTGGGGATGCACGCAACACCTGCGCATCCCCGTGTGGGTCCATGGGGATGCAGCAACACCTGCGCATCCCCGTGTGGGTCCATGGGGATGCAGCAACACCTGCGCATCCCCGTGTGGGTCCGCGAGGATGCACGCAACACCTGCGCATCCCCGTGTGGGTCCGCGAGGATGCACGCAACACCTGCGCATCCCCGTGTGGGTCCGCGAGGATGCACGCAACACCTGCGCATCCCCGTGTGGGTCCGCGAGGATGCACGCAACACCTGCGCATCCCCGTGTGGGTCCGCGAGGTTGCACGCAACACCTGCGCATCCCCGTGTGGGTCCGCGAGGATGCACGCAACACCTGCACATCCCCGTGTGAGTAAACACAGTCCTCCATGGGTGCAAGCATTGATACACCCCGCTTGAACAAGGCCTTACACCCCAGTCACACTGGATGCGACTTGGAATGCGATTTGCATATCGCATGCCAAAGTCGCACCCTATTGTCCACCATTACAGCGGTCATATCGGTGCGGTTCCAACTCGGTCGTAGCCGATCCGGTTTCTAAAGTAGTACATGCACTAATTTTGGTGTCATTTGCATAGACATCTGTGTCAGATGTCTTGCAAAACGCACCTGAAATCAGCATTTCCCCCGACTTTGAAATAATGCAACTTTCCCTGTAAGTCGCACGATTTCAAAGTCGGGTTTGATTTGACTGGGGGGGGGGGGGTTATTGTTCATCTACTTTTTGTACCCTTAGCATCTCCCTGTTGTATACAATGTAATACGTCTGTAAAATCTTTTATCACTCCAAGTGCAAATTTCAATAAAGATTAATTTTGTAAATTGCTGAAAATCCAATAATTTAAAAAAATGGGGGGGGGGGGGGGGTAGACAGCACAAAAAGAAATCAAAATGAGAGCTCCCTGAAAATACAACATCCTTTCCCTTTATATGTTAAGGAGGTCATCCGAGGAATCATCTGACTGCTGGAAATAATTAATCAGATTATCACCCCCCCTCCTTCCCCCTGACATCCACTGTTCATGTACATTGAGCGATCTCGCCTTTGCAGCAAATCTCGTCCGCACACAGAAGTAAAAATGATCCCTGAAGAATGACATTTCGGCCACTTCCTAGTAATGACCCAAACATGGTGAGGACGGTGTGTGACAGCGGCAAAAATCATTCACAATGTGCGCATAGCACAGCCATGGCCCGGAAGTCACATAAATGGTAGCATCAAAAGATTCACAATAAAGGGGAACGCACTGGGCATCCTTGCGTATGCCCCCCCCCGCTAAAACCCCCCCCCCCCCCCCCACCCTAGGGCGAGAATTCAGCACTTTGAGGCCTGCTTGTATAAATGTCCGTCATATATCCCAAGAGGCTTCACTTTCATTCGCAGAAACTGAAGGAGGGTGGGCTCGGGCTGCTTGAAGCAGAAAGAGGCATTTGGCACCCTATGACGCCAACAGCAAAGATGGCGGTGCTATGTACAGATTGTGACAGTCAGGTCACTATTAGAACGCTGTAACCTCTGTGTAGGCGAGTTTCTAAACAGAAATCGATGGGCTGAGATTCCTCTTAAAAATTTTTAAATTAACTGACTTATGGGACACTTTTAACCATTCCCTTGCCAGCCCAATTTTTCCCCATTTACCACATAATATACACTTAAAGATTTACTAAAGAGTCATTCCCCTAAATCATATGTTTTTTAAAGGCTGAGATCCGACAGACTTCTAGAGGACCTATACTGTAGAAGCTGTGACCAAAAATGACAAGCAGAGGAAAAAAAAAAAGTGACCAATATTGCCTTGCAGCCAAACTCTCCCCCCCATTTCTGCCTTGTTTTGTATTGTGCAGAGGTGGTCATCTTGGTGAAGGAGCAGGGCTTTGCTTCCCGTGTCACAGCTGCCATCCCCCCCGACCAATGACTAGTGAACTGACAACTGGTGGGTACTGATCCAGAAGTAGGAGAGCAGTAAAAAAATTCACAAAAAATAAAGCAGAATCAGGGAGATCCTTGCACTGCAGCTCTACAGGTACAGCTTCCTCTCCAGCAACGAGAGCAATGGAGCAGTACAGAGATCATCGAATCTCACACCCAAAACTATTTTATGCTGCAGAGGCCAAGGAAGTATACTGCTAGTTTTCAGGAAGAATTCAAGACAAAAAGGTAGATTTTCCAGAGTACAGTTTAGGCCAGGGGTAGGCAACCTGAGAGCCGCAGGACTACAAGTTCCATCAAGCCTCTGCAAGTCATAGCTGTAACTGTCAGTTTTGTAATCTTTGCAATGCCTCATGGGAAATGTAGATCCACAACAGCTAGAGAGCCACAGGTTGCCAACCCCTGGTTTAGGCACAAGGTGTTCCGTACAACACAGCAAATGTTGACTTTTAGGGCTCGTTCACACTTGACTCACTTCTAACGCTTGCCAAACGCCCCTATAGCATTAGACAGGTGTTTGGGAAGCGTTTTTAACTCTCCTCAAATGCCCTATGCGTGTTTTTGAGGCGTTTGATAGGCGTTTTCCAAGCATTAAAACCTCAACACAAACGCGTATAATGAAGTTCAAAGGGTGCCTCCGGACTGTCCGTAATTTCAAAGGGTGGCTCGGGACTGGCCGTAAGTTCAAAGGGTGCCACCGGACTGGTCGTAATTTCAAAGCGTGCCTCGGGACTGGCCGTAATTTCAAAGGGTGCCTCGGGACTGGCCGTAATTTCAAAGGGTGCCTCGGGACTGGCCGTAATTTCAAAGGGTGCCTCGGGACTGGCCGTAATTTCAAAGGGTGCCTCGGGACTGGCCGTAATTTCAAAGGGTGCCTCGGGACTGGCCGTAATTTCAAAGGGTGCCTCGGGACTGGCCGTAATTTCAAAGGGTGCCTCGGGACTGGCCGTAATTTCAAAGGGTGCCTCGGGACTGGCCGTAATCTCAACGGGTGCCTCGGGACTGGCCGTAATCTCAACGGGTGCCTCGGGACTGGCCGTAATCTCAACGGGTGCCTCGGGACTGGCCGTAATCTCAACGGGTGCCTCGGGACTGGCCGTAATCTCAAAGGGTGCCTCGGGTGCCGTAATCTCAAAGGGTGCCTCGGGACTGGCCGTAATCTCAAAGGGTGCCTCGGGACTGGCCGTAATCTCAAAGGGTGCCTCGGGACTGGCCGTAATCTCAAAGGGTGCCTCGGGACTGGCCGTAATCTCAAAGGGTGCCTCGGGACTGGCCGTAATCTCAAAGGGTGCCTCGGGACTGGCCGTAATCTCAAAGGGTGCCTCGGGACTGGCCGTAATCTCAAAGGGTGCCTCGGGACTGGCCGTAATCTCAAAGGGTGCCTCGGGACTGGCCGTAATCTCAAAGGGTGCCTCGGGACTGGCCGTAATCTCAAAGGGTGCCTCGGGACTGGCCGTAATCTCAAAGGGTGCCTCGGGACTGGCCGTAATCTCAAAGGGTGCCTCGGGACTGTCCGTAATCTCAAAGGGTGCCTCGGGACTGTCCGTAATCTCAAAGGGTGCCTCGGGACTGTCCGTAATCTCAAAGGGTCCGTAATCTCGGGACTGTCCGTAATCTCAAAGGGTGCCTCGGGACTGTCCGTAATCTCAAAGGGTGCCTCGGGACTGGCCGTAATTTCAAAGGGTGTCTTGACTGAAAAAAGGTTGAGAAACACTGGTCCAGGCTACAGATCGGTAGCCATCAGAACTGGCTTCCAATTATGTCTTCCCTGCCCCCCAGGCGTTCTGAACTGTTTAAAAGGGACACCAGGTTAGGTGGGAAAGGGTTATAAATAACACACATTGGGATGTATCTGGAGGTTTTTTTAGGGAGGGAATGCATGGAAAACACCCATGTATGTGTGGAATCTGTGACTTCCTGCCAACCACCAACACCCAATCACCTCTCACTCATCTGCCAAACTCCGTACCAAGTCACTCCTGCAAATCCTTACCCAGCCTCCGTTTTCTTGTATCCAGGGCTCTAATGATGAATCCAGAAATGTTGCCATCCATTGAATAATCCTAGGCAGAAGTTCTTCCATTTCTTTATCTGCGCTCTCAAAACACAGCGCCCCCCCCCAAAACAGAAGAAAGCCACAATACGCCCCCAGTTTATGCCATCCCTAAACAGTTCCTGCACCACCTGCTCGAAGCTTTGATAGGCCGTGTCAGGGGTGATGTGCAGCTGGCATGCGAGGTCGTTAAACGCACGTCTGTATCTCAGTTCAAATTCTTCCGATGCTTCTAGCAGAGTTTGCAGCACTTCTTCAGCCACGGGACCCTGCGTGCTTCCTCCTGGGCGGGTTCCCACCTGCTCCGTGGGGGTGGTGCCATTAGCGAAAATCTCAGACTGAATATCTGAGCAGCAGCTGGGATCGAAGCCTTTTCTCCAGAGTTTTCTGCACACAAATTTTTTGATGAGATTTTTGTTTCCCCCTTCCATCCTCAAGACTGAGATATTACCATGTCCCGGCGCTGACAGGAAAGAGCCAAAGCGAGAAGCATATGGAAGGGCCGGTTGTTCTATACAGTCACTGGACGGCAGATTTCAATGTACAAGGATGACCAAGTGGAGGGTCACTTAGGGTTTATGTCCTCCAGTAAATAAGTCTGAATGTGATGGAAAAAAAACATCTGAAAAAGAAAGAAAAATACAAATTAAGGCTCCATTCACACCTGAGTGTTTTGCTGCTTCCTCTATCTCAACTCTCCTGAAATACTCTGCGCTGCCGGAGGACTCCGCTCCTTCCTCTATAACTCTCCTCTCCTGAAATACTCTGCTCTGCTGGAGGACTCCGCTCCTTCCTCTATAACTCTTCTCCTGAAATACTCTGCGCTGCTGGAGGACTCCGCTCCTTCCTCTATAACTCCTCTCCTGAAATACTCTGCTCTGTTGGAGGACTCCGCTCCTTCCTCTATAACTCTCCTCTCCTGAAATACTCTGCACTGCTGGAGGACTCCGCTCCTTCCTCTATAACTCTTCTCCTGAAATACTCTGCACTGCTGGAGGACTCCGCTCCTTCCTCTATAACTCTCCTCTCCTGAAATACTCTGCTCTGCCGGAGGACTCCGCTCCTTCCTCTATAACTCTCCTCTCCTGAAATACTCTGCGCTGCTGGAGGACTCCGCTCCTTCCTCTATAACTCCTCTCCTGAAATACTCTGCTCTGTTGGAGGACTCCGCTCCTTCCTCTATAACTCTCCTCTCCTGAAATACTCTGCACTGCTGGAGGACTCCGCTCCTTCCTCTATAACTCTTCTCCTGAAATACTCTGCACTGCTGGAGGACTCCGCTCCTTCCTCTATAACTCTCCTCTCCTGAAATACTCTGCTCTGCCGGAGGACTCCGCTCCTTCCTCTATAACTCTCCTCTCCTGAAATACTCTGCGCTGCTGGAGGACTCCGCTCCTTCCTCTATAACTCCTCTCCTGAAATACTCTGCACTGCTGGAGGACTCCGCTCCTTCCTCTATAACTCTCCTCTCCTGAAATACTCTGCATTGCTGGAGGACTCCGCTCCTTCCTCTATAACTCTCCTCTCCTGAAATACTCTGCACTGCTGGAGGACTCCGCTCCTTCCTCTATAACTCCTCTCCTGAAATACTCTGCGCTGCTGGAGGACTCCGCTCCTTCCTCTATAACTCTCCTCTCCTGAAATACTCTGCGCTGCTGGAGGACTCCGCTCCTTCCTCTATAACTCTCCTCTCCTGAAATACTCTGCACTGCTGGAGGACTCCGCTCCTTCCTCTATAACTCCTCTCCTGAAATACTCTGCGCTGCTGGAGGACTCCGCTCCTTCCTCTATAACTCTCCTCTCCTGAAATACTCTGCGCTGCTGGAGGACTCCGCTCCTTCCTCTATAACTCTCCTCTCCTGAAATACTCTGCGCTGCTGGAGGACTCCGCTCCTTCCTCTATAACTCTCCTCTCCTGAAATACTCTGCGCTGCTGGAGGACTCCGCTCCTTCCTCTATAACTCCTCTCCTGAAATACTCTGCACTGCTGGAGGACTCCGCTCCTTCCTCTATAACTCTCCTCTCCTGAAATACTCTGCGCTGCTGGAGGACTCCGCTCCGTCCTCTGGTGAAATATATATATATCACTGTATATTAGCGCACGCATGCACCATACTGCTCAAAAAGTTTTATGAACTTATGAAAAAAAAAAAAGCTGAAAAGTGAAGATTCTTTTAAAAATAATGCATTTAATTTTTATCAACTGAGCTACAAAAATGCATAAATAGAAAAAAAAATGTTGCCTTTTAGGTGTGAAATGTCTTCTGTTCCTGCACCACACAGAAATGTGCCTTCTACTGCAGACTTCACCGGGTGCCATTGATTCTTAATGCCCCCCCCCCCCCCAGGCATCCAGCGAACACAGGAGCGTCTGTGGCCGCCAAAACACATAGTACTGAAATGAAATGGCCTGTCCTAAAATCTAGGAGCTGGAAACATTTTTGCATGCTTCTACATGTCCACTGTATGGGCCAAACTCAATTTTGCGCCAGAAGATGCGGCGGTCATACATCAGTACTGTGGGCTAGGACCCCAAGATGCCATCCCCTCCCCCAGTCACACAGTCCAGGATTTTGCAGGCATTTAGGCTCCATTTGCAATTGTGCGACTTCAAAGTCGTGCGACTTTACATTGAGACTTAGGATTGGTGCGACTTTGACTGTAAAAAATACTGATTGTTAAAAATCAACAAAAAGTGCCAGAAAAGGCCGGGTCTTCAAGTGGTTAAGGGTCCTTTCATATTGTATGCATTGGCAGCTTTGCCGAAAACACAAAGCCAAGCCAATTTGCCCTGAGCCCTAAACATTCAGTTGACATCACTGCGTCCTATATATTCAGTACACATGTACAGTATGTAGAGAACTTTAACAATGCTTGCATTAAATTCCATCATTAAAACCACTGGCTAACCCCTGCACAGGATTTTCTGCTCCGGGGGTAACTTGTGATTTCAGAAAGTCACGATGAACATTCTACATGTGATCTGAACGGACATGACACATTATGAAATATCCTTGCAGCTACAATAATTTCCATTAAGGAGTGACGTCACCTTTGTCACACGAGTCACAGACGGTAATTACATTGTGAAATGTGTAACGGGCAGGAGTGACGTCATCAGGTGTGACGTGACTCAGTGCCAGAGCATTCTACCCAGGAGCTTGTATAGGTCAGTGGAACATCTCCATTACGGATATAAACACACAGCAAAGGTTCTGTCACCTGTTAAGGCATTCTACTGTATGTGCCATCGCCACAGCCTTTGGGAGAGTTACGCTGGAAGGATATTGTTCAATTTCCTAGTTTATACAATTCAAAGTGTTTAGCTTTGGCTTCAGATTAGATGGTTTTGGTAAATCTAAAGGAAAATAGCACAAGAAAATGTGTAATGTATTGCCAGTCTTAATTCGGCTCGACTCCAGCCTTGGACAAAGTGGAAGAAAGCTTAGATGCTTCATCAGATTTCCACTGAGATAAATATGACTCTACTGGGGAGATTGCAGTGGCAGGAGACCGGAAGTGAGGACACTTTCCAGCTCCGCTCCTGCACACACTGCACTTTCCAGCTCCGCTCCTGCACACACTGCACTTTCCAGCTCCGCTCCTGCACACACTGCACTTTCCAGCTCCGCTCCTGCACACACTGCACTTTCCAGTACACACTGCACTTTCCAGCTCCGCTCCTGCACACACTGCACTTTCCAGCTCCGCTCCCGCACACACTGCACTTTCCAGCTCCACTCCTGCACACACTGCACTTTCCAGCTCCGCTCCTGCACACACTGCACTTTCCAGTACACACTGCACTTTCCAGCTCCGCTCCTGCACACACTGCACTTTCCAGCTCCGCTCCTGCACACACTGCACTTTCCAGCTCCGCTCCTGCACACACTGCACTTTCCAGCTCCGCTCCTGCACACACTGCACTTTCCAGCACATACTGCACTTTCCAGCTCTGCTCCTGCACGCAGTGCACTTTCCAGCTCTGCTCCTGCACACACTGCACTTTCCAGCGCACTTTGCTCCTGCACACACTGCACTTTCCAGCTCCGCTCCTGCGCACTTTGCTCCTGCACACACTGCACTTTCCAGCTCCGCTCCTGCACACACTGCACTTTCCAGCTCCGCTCCTGCACACACTGCACTTTCCAGATCCGCTCCTGCACACACTGCACTTTCCAGATCCGCTCCTGCACACACTGCACTTTCCAGATCCGCTCCTGCGCACTTTGCTCCTGCACACACTGCACTTTCCAGCTCCGCTCCTGCACACACTGCACTTTCCAGCTCTGCTCTTGCAAACTTTGCTCCTGCACACACTGCACTTTCCAGCTCTGCTCCTGCACGCAGTGCACTTTCCAGCTCCGCTCCTGCACATACTGCACTTTCCAGCGCCAGTCCTGCGCACTTTGCTCCTGCACACACTGCACTTTCCAGCTTCGCTCCTGCACACACTGCACTTTCCAGCTCCGCTCCTGCACACACTGCACTTTCCAGCTCCAGTCCTGCGCACTTTGCTCCTGCATACACTGCACTTTCCAGCTCCGCTCCTGCGCACACTGCACTTTCCAGCTCCGCTCCTGCACACACTGCACTTTCCAGCTCCGCTCCTGCACACACTGCACTTTCCAGCTCTGCTCTTGCAAACTTTGCTCCTGCACACACTGCACTTTCCAGCTCTGCTCCTGCACGCAGTGCACTTTCCAGCTCCGCTCCTGCACACATTGCACTTTCCAGCGCCAGTCCTGCGCACTTTGCTCCTGCACACACTGCACTTTCCAGCTTCGCTCCTGCACACACTGCACTTTCCAGCTCCGCTCCTGCACACACTGCACTTTCCAGCTCCAGTCCTGCGCACTTTGCTCCTGCATACACTGCACTTTCCAGCTCCGCTCCTGCGCACACTGCACTTTCCAGCTCCGCTCCTGCACACACTGCACTTTCCAGCTCCGCTCCTGCGCACACTGCACTTTCCAGCTCCGCTCCTGCACACACTGCACTTTCCAGCTCCGCTCCTGCACACACTGCACTTTCCAGCTCTGCTCTTGCAAACTTTGCTCCTGCGCACACTGCAGTTTCCAGCTCCGCTTGTGTTTTTACTGCCTTCTAACCACCATTGTAAATGACCTCTTTGGGATTGTGCAGGGTTCAGGTGTGCCCATCACATTACACTCTATTTTTGCAAAAGGGGCGCAGTGCATTGTAACATACTGGGACCCCTTGTCTGCATGGGACCCCTTGTCTGCATGGGACCCCTTGTCTGCATGGGACCCCTTGTCTGCATGGGACCCCTTGTCTGCATGGAGTGTCTCACTCATAAGGTGGACTACGCCTTTCACAAATTAGAAGCAGTACAAGAACAGAACGCTCCGTGTGATCCAGATGTACAATATTCCCGTGTACTAAACTATTTACAAAGCGGCAGCCGTGC